GTGAATTCCAACCTCGATCTAGCCTGTAGCCAGGTCGAAAAGAAGGCCGAGGAACGCGCTGTTCCTGAAATCGAAGAGATACTAGAGCCAGAACTAGAAGCCCGGCGCCTTCACCACATCAGGCGACCAGATGATCCATATATTGATCCCCAACTCAGTCGTTGGGCCTGGACCATTCCAAGCCCGTACAAGTTGCAGCCGTCAATGTCTGGCCTTAACCAGGAGCAAATGGCTATTTACGATGAGTTTGCTCGTCAGCCGAGACTACTACCTCTAGTCGATAGAGGCTCGGTCGCAGGATCCTTGGCCGGTACGACCCACGTTGCTACAGCTTCAGATGCAACAACGTCAATCACCAATGATCTTCTGCGGGATCAATTTCCCACGGCCCCAAACCTTCCAGCGCCTGCTGAGACTCCTACAATTCCACTCGTCAACAACCAGCAAGCTCCCTACAGCCAGCCTTCAGCTGCTCTGTCCAATGGAAGAATGCCAAACATGGCCATGAACCCCCAAGGGTTGCCGGAAAAGGTGCAAAGACTATTGGCTGACTTACAACAAACCACTGCCGATATTCCTGAGCAGCACTATATGGATCTCCCTCGACCCCATCCCGTCATTGAGATCTTGGATGCCTTATACGGTTTAATCATCAGAAGCCAGCAAGGACAAGAACCTTATGACATCTGGATTGCAGAGCAAATTTGTGGAATAGTGTTTAGTGGAAGTGAAAACACTTTAGTGATTGAGTGCTTGGTACATGTACTCGAGAACATTATCAGGATTGGTGGTCGTTGTGCCGTTCGGGTTTCCATGATCATTGGACAGCAAGTTGGAGAAGCACTTCTCCACGTTCCACTGATTATTGCATTGGTCAAGGCTGAAATGATTGATTGGGCACGCGTCGACTTCGCCACATCTACAGCCTTGGCGGAGCGCAAAGAAGGGACTCTAGAATTCTTCCTTTCTCTCCTGGAGCAAGTTTTCTTATGTGATCGACCACTAGCGCTGTATACTGATGTCGCGAAAAGTTTGGAAGTCGCTTTCGAATGGATTTTAAAAGAGCCCAACTTGGAAGTTGGCCAGCAGCTCAAGGAGAAGCTTGCAGCTTCTGCCCTTCCAAAAAGTGTCGGTCGCAGTCAAAATGACCGACTTGCCTTCCGTCAAGATCAAATGGAATATGTCTTCGAGGAGTGGATTCACTTGTTTAGCAACCCCATTGCTCCGGAGAGGGCAGCGCTGGTATTCATATCTCACATGTATAACAGGCAGCTCATCAACGATAAGGAAGACCTCTGCCTTTTCTTGCGCCTCTCGATTGATACATCAGTCGAACGTTTTGAACAACAGATTCAAATGCATGGCTTCCTTAATGATGCCTACGTCCCTATCGATGCATTGGCAAAGCTTATATCTCTACTGGTTAGGGGCTATGAACGCGAAGGCGAAGTGAAGGGTGACAAAGCCGCGTTCCTGGAATCAGTTCTATCAGTCATAACGTTGGTTTTAAATCATCATCATGTCATGCGGGGCGAGGGCTTCAATCAAAAGGTCTTTACACGACTTCTTTCCTCGATGCTTTGTCATTTGAATACTTTCTCGACTGATTTGTCCGAAACGGAGAACCACCAAATTATTTTGACATTTGCTGAAAAGCTCATCAAACTTCAACCAGCTTATTTCCCAGGCTTTGTATACGGTTGGATGACCTTGATCTCTCACCGCTTCTTCCTCGTACCATTGATGGGACTTCCGGATGATATGGGGTGGCAACCATTTGCGAAACTTGCGGAGTGTTTACTGTCCTACACAGGCGAGCTGTTAAAGCCATTACAGTTGACATTAGCGGCAAGGGATATTTATCAAGGAGTTCTCAAGTTCTTCCTTGTGTTACAACATGATTATCCTGACTTCGTAGTTGCATACTCATCGAAGCTATGTGCCAACGTGCCAAGTCATTGTGTCCAATTATTGAATCTCATTCTCAACGCTCATCCAACAAAGACTCAGTTGCCAGATCCATTGCAGCCAGGATTGAAAATTGAACGCATTGAAGAAATCCGCATATCACCAGAGATTGTCAGCATCGATATTGAGGGAACCTTACAATCAACTGGTTTGTATGAGATTCTCGAACAAGCCTTACACAATGGCCCTTCAGAGGATGCGGTAGCTCACATTACACATACTATACAACGCAAGCAAACCGAAGTGAGCGGTCCAGGATTTGTGCCCGTCAATGTTGACTTGCAGCTGATTGAGTGTATCGTTTTACACATCTGTATGTACGCTGTGACGAGAGCAAGTCAGAAGGGAGAGCTTAATAGTTTTGCTCGCGGTTCAACTGATGCTGCTTTGCTCTCGATGCTTATTCACGAACTCAATCCAGAGGCTCGACATTACCTTCTGATCAGCATGGTGAACCAACTTCGTTTCCCTAACGCCCATACGAACTACTTCGTGCAAGCGCTCCTGGAACTATTCGGAAATGACGTCAATGATCAAGAGGAGTCGGATATCAGTCAACAAATTCTTCGGGTTTTGTTAGAAAGAGCATTCGTGTCCCTACCGATCCCTTGGGGCGTGCTTAACATGGTCATCGAACTCGCCAAGAACGAGAACAAGTACAAATTCTTTGACTTGCCATATATCAAGTCGACACCAGAGGTAAGATCCGTGGCCCTTTCACTTTGCTCAAATGATTGACAGTATTTCAACTAGGTCGCTGAGCGGATTGCTGTTATCGTGCAGCGTTCTCTCTCAAGATAAAGTTACACACCATCAACCAGATCTGGATAATTTGATTCTGGCACAAACATATAGATGTGTCGCACCAGTGATTGAAATTTCCAAGATCTGTATCATTGTTACATAACCTCTTAGGTCACATTCGGCGTTCCATGTTACAGATCTTTCCGGTTTGTCTACTGCATAGCGAGTGAAAGGAATTGGGATTTTTGCAAGATCTGCTATACTTATGGTGGGAACAGGGAACGACAAAAACTTTTATTTAATGCATCTTACATGATTAATGTTTCCTTGCCTACCTTCTGTATGACAGAAATTTAAGGGTGGGCAAAAATTCTGGTGGCGTGGGGGAAAACAGACATATGGCGTGGGAATGGTTTGGCTTACTTGCTGTTACGTGGGAAGGCGGCAAACTTTTATGTATCATAAATGGAGTTCAATATATTTTTCTGGAAATAATGACATTCGTTTGTGACGATCGTTCTCCTTTATTCCTACGAGACTAACAACTGACACTCTTTAATGAGTGGATTTATTTTTATTATTATGACGATGTGGCCAAAACTGCCGCTCTTATTAGCTCTTCTTAGAATTACATTGTGGAGAAACCCTCGCTTCAGTTGGCAAAGATCTTCTCATTTTTTGATTGAAACTCACTGTTTCTGGTTTGATGAAAGTTGATTGTGGCTAACTAGGCTCAAGTTCAGAGCTGCCCTACAGCGGGAAATTGGGGACTCTGCAAGCGTGGCCGAGCTCAGAGATATTCACAAACATAATATATATCTACTGGACGGGCTGGGAAAGAAAGGGTGATCAACTTGTCAGTTAGACCTCGAGGACCTGATGAGGGATGCTTTTACAAAACCTACATGTTATCGATGCCCATACATTTCCCTATTCTTATTTCCGCACTCATATTGATTCTCTTCTAGTATTAGTTCTCGTTCTTCATACCTAATGTTTGGTAGCATAATCTTCTTGACAGCAGTGTTGCCAGTTTTTCGTGCACATGCTCAAGGGAGCTTCACGACTTGGTCACCACCTGGTCCAGGTGATGTTCGTTCTCCATGTCCTGCGATGAACTCCCTCGCCAATCATGGATTTCTCCCGTATAATAGGAAAGGGATTACGATCCCTAATGTTATCACCGCGTTAGATGCTGCTTTGAAGTATGATTTCTCTTTGTCGCATCAAGTCTCGTCCATTTTCTCCAAACTGTACAATACATTAATCACTGTAAATCTAATCCCTAATCTAGCGTGGGTGCCGATTTCGCCACTGCTATCGGCACCGCCGGTCTGCTATCAGTCCAAGGCCGTCTCCTCGCTACATCCTTCAACCTCGACGATCTAAACGAACACAACTTTCCCATCGAACACGACGGATCTCTTTCCCGCGCGGACTACTACTCCTCTGCAAACCACGACGATTACTCATTCAACCAAACAATCTTCAACCAATTCCTCTCATTTTTCACCTATCCCCAAACATCCATCCCCGTCGCCGCAGCCGCCAAATACGCACGTGTGAAATATGAAGAGGAGCACGATCCACATTTCTCATATTCAGCTCAGCATTTCGTATTAAGCTATGGAGAAACGGCGTTATATTTAAGTACGCTGGGGGATCCGATCGAGGGAATCGCGGATGTAGAGTGGGTGAGGGTGTTTTTTGAGGAGGAACGGTTGCCGTATAGGGAGGGGTGGAGAAGAGGAGGGACGCAAACGAATCTGGCGAGTTTGGCGGGCATGATTGAGAGGTTGATGTGGGCTAATGGGGAGGTGGTGCCCGAGGGCTTGGAGGTGACGGCGCAGACGGTGGGGATTGCTTTTGGAGGGTATGATCCGGTGACGGGGGTGTTGGGTCATGTGGTGGGTGAGTGTGCTGCGATGGAGGAGGCTGTTGGTGATGTTTCTGTGTCTTGAATCTAAATCGCACTATCTCTTGGTTGAATTGAAGTTGCGAAGACATGTAATTGTAAGCAAATTTCGCTCATGGTACAAAGTGTTCTTGTTGATATCATTTATTTGTCCTCAAAGCACATTGATAATCACAATTGTAGCTTCAATGGCAATGATATTTTACCGCTGCCACGTTCAACTCTCGCTAAAAAAAGACGGGACTGGAACTGCTTAGTCTAAGGAGAGTACAATGAATGAGAGTCTTACTTCGAATTCTTAACTTGGGTCATGATACCCTCATTCGAGAATTCGTTACTTTGTCTGCTTAGACGGTGAGAGTAGTGAAACTTAAGTTGATAATATAGTAAGGCTGTGAACGCCAAAATTTGAGATTCATATGCAACACTTGCCATTAGGAATACACGGTAAACTAATGTCAGAAGTAGATCAAATTCTCGAACCTGCCCCAAACTCCGAATCTCCCTACCGGCCTATGATCACTAAAATGTTACAATTAAGGGTATCTCCATTTCATCTATCCAACCCAATACGCCAACTCTTTGAGCAATTTCACAATCCGTTCGCCTGACCACCTCGACTTCTCCTTCGAGTGAGCCGGGCCGTGCCTCCAGTACCACCTTCACTAAAACTTGTGCCCAGGCCAGAATCACTTCTCCTACCAGCTTGCCAACTGCCTTCCCCGTCTTCGTCTTCATCGTCCGCATCCCCTCCAAGAGGCAGAATCACCGCTTCTTCCAATGTTTTATCTTCCTCATCCTCTTCTTTCTTGATGCCTACTGGTGGATATATCAATGGCATTTGACCCCTTACAGTCGGGAATGTTCTCGGAGTATCTGAAAGATCTGGCTCATCATCCGTTGCCTCTTCTTTGATTGCATCTTCACTCTTTTCAATCTCTTGTCCCTTTCCAACCCTTTCTTTCTCCCTTCCTCCAAAACATAACTTCAGGATTGCCCACCCAACAATACACCCTAGCATTTCCGCCCCCCAAAACGCGCCCACCACGATGATGGCAGTGCTAATTCTCCAATTCCACATCCACCACCGCAGGCCACTTAATTTCGCTCTTATAAATATTCTACATCCATATATTTGTACTTCGCCCGAGTCTTTCTCGATGACCACTTCCACTGCACTTGGTATGTTCTTGTTTCCTCTTGGAAAACTAACACCTTCCGCCATTTCCGCGGTGATTTTTTCGTCTTCTCTCTTCCACCCAAGCACATACAGTGGTGCATTTACCAGCTTGCCCAATCCAGATACCAATTCACTTTCGTATGTCAGAATTGTAGGTCGCCGAGACGAGAAGAGTACATCTTCATTCTTAGTGATTCTTGAAAGAGGCAATAGATGTTCGACGCCTGGCATCAAGCTAGGGGTTTTATAATTAGGTCCAAGGAAATTTACATGGATCATAAAGTTTCCGGCGTTCAAATTGAGTGGAGAACGTGGCATGTGTAGTTCCAGTTGAATATCGTATTCTTGACGTGTTACAAGGGAATTGTCGAGGGGTACGATGCCATGAGGATGCTGGCCTGGTCTGCGTTTGTTCCTGCGTTAGAATATCTCGTAGTCATTGGTTCATTACGACCATAGCAATGACACACACAGGGGCTTCTCAAATGAAACGGAATACGCACGCAAATTGCAACCAAACCCTCCTTTCCACCCCAAGCGCTGGCACCCAGCTCCAATAAAACCCCGCATAAGCTACCACAGCAAACCCAAACAACACAAGTGACGTCGAAAGGAATAATATAGTATTGAGGTATGTTTTGCGCGCCGGTTTCGAGGTCGCGATCGCAATCGGCTTACGAATCATGGTATCCTACTCGCAGGTGTATGGTTAGCAATCTGAGAATGAGGAATGTAATAAGTTTGTAGGAAAGAAACTGGTGCGCGGCGATGAGATTGGGAATAATTACCATTTTGATGCGTGGACTTGTTATCGCATTACATTATTTGTGATGGAAACTAAAATGAGAACATGAAAGTCTTTGGAGTGTAGTTTGACGTGAAAGCGCGTTCAGCTGTGAGGTTCATGGGCGATGTTTACAAGACAACGCTTGGGTGATAATGACGTCGGGCTCCAAGGAACCCCTGCACTGGGCTTGTGATTAACTCCCGGTGAGGAGCTCTGTCAGTTCCTGATCGTAATCTCAGGAATTGGACTGCAATTATGTTCTTACCTGAGCGACGCTGAGAAGTGGCAAAGATTGAAGGTCTCACAAAATTGATAAAAATTGACCAAACTAGAGCTTTAATAATAATGAACTATCAAAGCATACACAACCTGATATGAAGTTCCACTCTGAATACCCTCATTGCTGTCGCAAACAATCAAGCTCACAAACCTCTATCTGCGCCATACACTACAACTCGACCACACGCAACATCACCGGACACAATGGCTTCCCAAGCTGACATGCAAGATCTCCTCCGTCTTCTCACAACAGGCCGCAATAAAGTTCCAATGCTTACAGCAATGCAACGGGTCAAAGCCCTACAAATCGCATCCATAAACCCCTCTATTTCAGCCGTCGCATCCACGCCTGTTGATACCCTCCAGTCCGCGCTTTCTCTGGATGAGAAAGCTGCAAAGTCTCTGATTACTGCTTGTAAAAATGCTAGTAAAACGACAAGAAAACGATCCGCCAGCGAGACTGATGCCACAAGTAAAGGAGCGACGAAACGCGTTAAAACATTCGAATCGGCATATTCTTTGCCAGTTGAACAAACAGAGGAGGAATTAGAGAAGAGTCTGGAGCTACCAGAGAGTGTGAGGGATGAAGAGAGGATTGAGAAGACAACTATTTATACGAATCGAGCACCGTTGGTATTGGCATGGACATTGCAATTACTGAAGTATACGATGCCGAGGCAGGGATTAAGTGGGAGATTGAGTTTGGCACAGGCGCTGGTTAGTGCGAATAGTAGGAGTAAAGCAGAGAGCCTAGGTCTGAAAGGGAAAGGAAAGGATGAGGATGAAGGGAAAGGATGGCCTAAGGTAAAGATCATGGGGAGGGAGATCGGCGTTTTGAAGAGAGGAGGCTATGATGAGCCGGAGAATGTCAAAGGAGAGAGTGGAATTAAGCAGGAAGAAGACACTCTTGCGGTTCAAAGCAATTCGAACGATGAATGGGCCGTTTCTACACCCATAACATCTAAGGGCTCAACGTTTATTGCTCGCTCGATATCTGTATCTTCATCCAGTCAAGCTCGCACCCATCTTCAAACCCTTCTTGAGGATACATCCATCTCGGATGCAAGCCATAATATTACAGCCTTCCGTGTCCAAGGTGAACATGGAATCATCGAAGACTGTAAAGACGATGGTGAATCAGGTGGCGGTAAACACATCCTTCGAGTGCTTCAAAATAATAATATAGTTGGGGTTCTGCTAGTTGTCTCAAGATGGTATGGAGGTGTTATGTTAGGACCTGACCGCTGGCGGATCATGACACAAGTTTCTAATGACGCATTGTCACAACGCTTAAGAGTCGCAGGAAACATCAGAGGGGGAGAACAATTATGGGGATTAGATATTGAAGCTATTAGTTCGTCGGGTGGAGGAAGTATACCGATTCATAGGCCAGAGGGGGCGAGAAAATATATCCTGAATGCCTTTGCTTCGCCTCCCGTGGATGAAAATGATGAGAAAGGGAAGGGTAAAAAGAAGAAAACTGCGAAAGCGTTAACTGAAGAAAAAGAAGACAATCTAGGATTGCTGATGGGAGCACTAGATTTGTTATTTGTGAGTTGGGTGAAGCATATTGGAAAGGAGGAGTTAGATAGGAGGGCTTGGGGATGGTATGTGCAGGTTAGACCAGAGGTGGAGAGCGGTGTTGCAGGGTGGGGTGGAAAGGGGGTTGTAAAGTTGAGTGAGATCTTGGCATTAAGGAGGAACTCGTGAGATGAGTAAACTAGTGAGTAGATTCCTATTGCTATGATTAGTATTCTATGAGAAGAATGCGTATAGACAGTGGCGTGAACAAACTTTATTAATGACAACACCTAATTGACTCCAGCTCAGCTAACTCTGCAACCAAAAGCCTGTGTACCTTATACTAGTGCCTCTCCCTCCTATCTGTTTCGTCATAGGAAAGAGTTCTTCAAGTTACATCTTATATTCAGGACCTAGTTTACAATTCACCAAATTACAATATAGCGCAATGGTCAAGGTATACCACCTATGGCAGGATGCAAACTGAAAGCAACGACTGTTATAATTTTACAGCGTGGTAACTGTTTGTTGATTATCTTTTTACCAAGAGCTCCAGCTCAAACGTCTGTAGCTCTTTCACTAAATTTTAAATTATCACCGTGCTCGTACTATCAACATGAGGCATATCTAATATGTCTGAGATTGCCTTGAACAATGGCCGTGGCACAACAGAGGCCAGCTCCTACCTATCAGTAACCTCATTTCACCTCATTATTCTTTCAAGAGGCTGGGCGGTAATGGCATAACTACCAGATTGAGGAGCCCGCATTGGTCGCCAAAAAGGTGTCAGATTAATCTCCCAAAAGGCATGAATTTAACTTCAGGGTCTTCAGGCAGCGGATTCAACAAGTGAAACCGCCTATCCTCTCGCACTTTCTTTCCTGTTCTGTAGATGCATTCATCAATCTTTGGCATCGACTTCCCTGGAAAAAGTATATGTTGTCGGCACGAAGTCGTCTGGATCTTAAGGTGCACCGTTCAAGCTTTGTAAGTTTGTATGCTGTATCTGTGTACATTTATCGAATAGATTTATCATTTGAGTTTCATTTTAAGAATAAGATACTGTGTGTGTATTAAATTTTGAGGAGTGGATTTCCGTCCCCTTCTCAACTCCAATAACACGGTACCCACGTCCTTAATTTTCTAACCTCTCGTAGCTGCAAATCCTTCGCAGACTACCACACCTTTTTATTTCATATTTTTCTAGTCAACGAGTCTGCATGCTTCGATATGTTTTTCCATGGCAATAACTATTCCTTTAACCCACTCCTGTGTACCGCTGTAATCTAGCGATCGGCCATAAGCGACCTCAAGGGGGCCACAAGCGCAGGCGGCAACAAACCACGGTAGCCGCTCATGAGAAAGTCTCAAGGTTGTGTTATAGACTTAGGCATCGGTGTATATACCTCTAGAAAGTTTAGTTCCTGAAATTCGTTCCCAACACTGTCAGAATCTGTTAGAACATATGCATAGACGATTCAATAATTAAAAGACCTCGAACGCAGTTAAATCTTAAATTTAGCCGTGTACATAAACTATTTTTCAAGCCCTTTCAGTTCATTGCATTAAAGATCCTTATTTTTGGGGAGCAAAACAATTTTTACCAACAACCCCTTTCGTCGCAAAGACGACGAATCTAAAAAGAAGAGACACGATCGAGATGATCAAAAAGAGGCACCTAGAGGAGGTTCAAGAGCTTCATCTCGAGACAACCACAAAAGACCTCCATATGACGTGACCTTCAAAACTACAAGCGAGAGCAATCTTAGACGCACCATCGGCCAGTATGCAACCATGTCTAGATTGGCGGGAGACGTCGGCATTCTCTTACAGGATGCAGAGGGAAAACTAGAAGAGTTACGCAAGACCGATGAACGGCTATCTGGGCTAGGCCCGGTAGGAACTGATGTTAAACGATGTAAGAGATATCTCGTGAAATCTCAAAACACCAATCAGAAGATATCAAAAAGGAAGAAAAAGATCTCAAGGGAGAAGAACCGATGCAAAGAGGAGGTAATGTAAAAGCTCATGATGACTTATCGAAAGATGTTCCAGGGAGTTCATCGGAGACATCGGAGACAACGAGAACAATGAAGACAATCGGGGTGTATTTACGGCTCACCTTAGATCGATATAGTGGAATTTTGAAATCAGATGATTGTCAGAAGAACGAGGATAAGAAGAAAGTAGTACAGGAACTTCTTTCAAGTTCTTTGAAACTCAAAGCAAAACATGAGGAAGCACTATCTATTCTTGCGATAGATAATCCTCAGGAACAGAGCAGAGAATCGAGGAGTGATACGCGGGTTTCTAGACCAAAGAATGCCAGGAATCATACGGAGCATGCTCGTAAACCATTATCAAAGAGCAGTTAAGTCTGGGACTGCTCATTTGCTATCGTCGCATCGTCAAGAGCCACCCACCACCACGGCAAGCTTAGTTATGTTCATTCTGGGAATTTGGGTGGAAGTTTCATTGATCCATTGTTATTGGAGTTTGTCTATTTGGTGTCGTTTTGATAGATAGGGCTGCCCCGAGAGTAATTGGGAGTGGTGTCCCCTCTTCACCATAAATATTGCACGCTTCACTAACACTCCATTTTTGCATAATTTATTAGACCTGTTGTTGCTCCACCAAGAATACATAGTATTCTAAGACCATAGAACAAAATCCGAAAAATTGTAATTGAATATGGTTATTCAATATGTCACTCGAATGTCGACGGTTTGTTCAGCTGGCAAATCTATCCAAAACATGTTGTTGCAAACTGAAAATTGGGAGAAATAGTCCTGGTAATTATTCAGTACTCTAAACATGTTTTTCATTCCTAAGTAAATCTATTTGATCAGACTTACATAATACTTTATAGGGTCCTTCGATATACCTCTTGAGCTGTCTCGTGGAAGATCGCTTGCTGGAGATGACGGAAATGGAGAAGCACATACTTTGTCCTTCAACTCCACATGGCAGGGTTTTTGTCAAGGCAACATTTATCGTCTACACTTGTCGACGGTCTCGTACTTGAAAGTATCGTGTTTGAAACCACGACTTGTTAGGCAATATAGCAGATCATAAATATGATGGCTGGAATCTAGACCCAATGGGATCGTCAATTCCAAAGAAACACATGAGTGATATTGATATTTGGAGTAGAAATGATATTGAGACGCGACTACCAGCACCAGAATAACGCTGTAGCTGAAACAATATTCTCTTGCATGTGCGGAAATGAATCTCCGTATAATTTAATTCGAACGTTTTGACAGACATCCATCCCACAGCCCCCCCCCCCCCCAAAAACGCCGACCCAATGCTGTAGTTTTACAGAAGATGATAAGAAACCTCTCACTTTCCCCCAAAATTTCATTCGTTTCTTTTAAACTCGCCTCGAACCGATCCACAACCACCCTCACCACCTTAGCTCATTCTTATGTTTGTTCGCATCGTCGCCACCCTCTTTTACATCATCCTTCTTATCCGCACCCTTCGTCTCTGAGGTCTCTTCTGCGAAGCCCAAGTTCTTGAATTCGTCCTTTGCCATTAAATTCCTGCAGCACGCCCCAATCATTAGTCCTCAATATCTTAAACCCTCATCCAAATCCCAATTTCCAACCCAAGATATGTATGAAAGCCAGTGACCCACCTATCCATCCGACAGGACAAATATGATTTCGCCAGATCCCTACATTCTGGATCATTCATGCCTCGAACTTTCTTCATACAATTGAGATAACTTTGCATTACTGATTTGCATTCACCTGTAGTCGCATTGTCGCATTAGTATATCGTTCTGTCATTCCAAGTTCCAAAACCCTTTCCATTTGCGCACTCGTGAATTCGTATTCAAGAGAGAAAAGTAAACCATACCATCATGATCCAATGGAAAACTTCCTCTTTCTGGTCTGTATTCCCAATCCAATTGTTAGTTATCTCTTTGCCAGAATACATCACAAACTGGAGAATCGTGAGAGTAACATACGGCGAAGGTTTGTTATTGACCATACGCCCACCCGGGCTTCCAAATGTACTCATGATTATTGATGTGTATTTGCCGTTAAAATGATCCGATGTTATCGATAATTTGGATGGACCTGGTCGGAGAAGGATTTTCTATTGTTCCGATATTTTAACCCCGGATTTATGACGTAAGCTATTGGAGCTCTAATGAGGGGTCAACATTGATGACAACTACTTGAGTAGAAAACGAAACATTTGTATTGAGAAATTAATATTCTTGTAAAAAGTTGTCCTACTTATAAGTAGCCTATCTATTAACTCACCTCATATATCACCCCAAACACTCAAAATGCCAATGCAAGTCCCCGTTCAGATTACCCCTCTTCAAAGCTCTGAAACACGGTGCTAATATCCATCTCAGGAAACTAGAAGGAAGCTGCCAATGCGGCCTCGTAGAGTTTTCTCTCCAATCCCAGACTCCCGTTCCATACCAACTTTGTGCTTGTTCCATCTGTCGCAAATGTGGGGGATATGGTGGATGCGTTAATCTAGGCGGTATAGCCTCTACCCTCGAGATTACCAAGGGCAAAGAACACATCAAGTACTCCTCTCTTCCCCCTCCCCCTTCCCTTGATATCTAAATCTTCTCAGAAAATACACGGCAACCGCCGATCGTGGCAAACCCACCGCCAAAAAATGCACATCCGAACGCAATTTCTGTAGCGAATGTGCATCGATGCTCTGGCTCTGGGATAAAACATGGCCGGAGCTAATTCATCCTTTTGCAAGTGCAATTGATACGGAATTACCGATTGCGGAAGAAATGGTTTGTGTGAAAGGGGATAGTAAGCCGGAATATGTGAGGTGGCCGGAGGGAAAGAAGAAGGTTTATGAGGGGTATGGGGAGTTTAGTATCGAGGGGTGGCATAAGGAGAAGGGTTTATGGGTTGAGTGAGCGGAAGAGAAGGGATGAGGAATCATGGGGGGATTGAAGTATTGAGGAGAATTGAGGAGAATTGACATGTAATGAGGAGCGTGTTTGATTAAGTTTGCTTGGGATACTCCTGAATTCACCTTCATTCTGACCACTCACCAGGAATTCTCCCCCCGCAACATCTTCGCTTTAAACTTTGAGTGAAGATATGTATTGGCAAAACACATGAGATTATAGCTTTGCAAAGATTTCATTGCACATCTGTGTTTCCAGATCCTTGTTTCAATGAGCTAAACGAATGCCTGAATGAGTCTCAAATTAATGACAGCTTTATTCATGAATATTGACCCAGAAGAGTACTTCTTTGAATTAGCATACCAAAACCCATCACAATCATGAGATATTCCTCCTTCCCACAACCACTCACATTAACAAACCCACTCCTTCAAATCGTCAACAAATTCAATCTCTTCCCAATCATACACAAAACCCACAACGCCTGCACGCTCTTCGACGCACCAGATGGATACCCCATCAAATTATTTGCCGCAATCGCCAACTCCCAATCCGAATACAGCGCGCCGAAACCCAAACAAATGGGCACAAAAGACGCATATCCACTAAGTCCAATCAGTGCACCCGTTCCAAAAGGATTTCTTCCGCTACCCGAGAGAAAAAGCCAAAAGATAATTACAGTTGCGATTGAGATTGCTAACCCCACGCCTCCGAACACCGCAGTGATGGTGCTCATTCGCGACGAGAAATTAGATGAGGCAAGCGAGATGGTACCGGGGAGATAGAGGAGTAGCCACCAGAGAGATGGGAAGATAGCGATGAAGCCTGAAGTGAGCGAGAGAGCTAATTTCATCGCTGCGATGGTTTCGAATTGCCTGAGGAATTTATAGTAAGTTTGATTTTCGCGAGATGGGATGATGTATCGAGGGGAGGTGCACCAGGCGTGGTTACATGTAACCATGGTTTTGATGACTGGTACGAGTGTAAAGAGAAGCTTTACTATCGCAATCGCCTGTTCCATGTACTGTCTGGAGTAGAGTCTATCCATGGTGTGGCGGGTCTCTTGTGGCAACATATGACAATGACGGTGTAATATGTGAGAATGTGGGAGAAGAAGCCCCACCCACCATATGGGAGGGAATAACACGAGGCTTCGGCGGTGAAGGCGTTCCTTTGAGTGTTGTCCGCGAGGACTGATGGTATGGAGAGGAGATAAAAGAGATACATGCGTGGAAATCGTGTGATGACATTCATGTGGGGCAAGAGGAAGATGGGCTTAGTTCACTTTGGGGCTCGAAATGAAATGATTAGCATAGATGCGTGTATGCAGACTATGCAGTCCTTTATATGTATATTTACCACATGCTGTCAGATTCCAAACCACACCTTCCAGATACATGTGAACGAAAGGCTAACAATACGTTGTATCATTGTCTAGATTAGGATAGTTATCTGAATTTGAATGTCTTCATGATCAGCCAAAGGCCCAGAAAGAAGCCTCGCATACGAAACATCTTGAGCCTCACAAAATCGATGTGTAACTCGAATCCTTCGGTAAACTTAATCAAGTTTCTTGATAAGATTAAGCCCTCGAATCAAAAGTAGATACTGCTAGAAGTATTGAGGGCTACAAGCGCTCTAGACACTTCGAATTTCATGTGGATTACATTTCGATAGTTAAAATAGGCTGGTGCTGCTTACTGCAGCGTCAGTGGATAAGCTCCTTACACCCAATGATCAAATTCAGTTAGCTTTGTCGAAATTGATTGGCAAGACAATTTTAAGAGGCAACCATTTGCTTCGGCTATAAAATCGTAATAGCCAGCCTCCTTTCTGCTTTTGAGAGGCCGTGAATCATACAAAATAAACCTAGGTAGCATTGCTACTTGGTAAGACGGTACTTGGCCCCCACAATTTGATGATGACGAGAGATTCTTAAAAAGAGCAAGTGAGGCTCAAGTAAACCAACAAACTTATTGGATGAATTATACGAAGTTGCCAATTTGAATTTGCCTGAAGCTTGATCAACAAACGAATTAAAGTTCATCGTTAATCATCCGACCATTAGACCACAGCCTCAAGATTGAGATGAAATACTAAGACAGCCAACTACCCAGGTATTTATTGATTCTTTCAATTGCCCAAAGGACTTGACATTCAGCCCCTTTATCATTCAATTAAAGACATCCCAATAGCCTAGCCTACTGGAACTTGTATTCTGAGAAGATATAAAAAGGGTGTAATAGTGGGCTCTCATAAACAGCCATTTGGTTCCTGATTGGGGGAACCGAATGTTCCCAGAAAGCGGATTGTTCCTATGAGATTCTAACACCAATTCTATTAATAAATCTGAACTAATTTTATAGAGAATTATATAGCTGGATAGTTATTGTTTTGATAAAGCTAATAACATATCCACTTTTATGATTGTTTAAACCACAATGAATAATTGTATATCAAAAATAAGATTTTCTAGCACAAAAAATACGATTTTAATGAAACATTACCAAAATCTCACGGGGACAATTCGCTTTCCTCGGCCGTTTATGAGAGCCGACTATCAAAGTGAAAAGTGCGACATGCAACAAAACTTTTGTTGAATTCTGTAGCCAATAGCGAAGTAAGATTTTGGAAGAATTGAGTAGATGGGATGAGATAAGATAGAAATTGACAAGTGAATGAATGAATAGGAAACAAGGATGAAGATGAGATCCAAAGATGAGACGAGATAGGCGCCAGCGACAGCATACAAATTGATTTCCCCTTCCTTTAACACTTCATCAGACATATGCTGTCCTTCCCCCTCCTACCACAAGATTCAAAACATCAACTCTCCCTCTCAGGAACAAACATGAAGCTATTCAAATCTACAGACATGCAACAAAACCAAAAGCCGCAGACCACGAGACAAGACCAGAGGAATCTGCCCTGAAACCTCCTCACCTTCCCCTGCCCCCCGAAACAAAGTGAATACACCGCAGCTACCAGCCATCACAGCCCTACGCATGGTCCAAGTAAGCAACCGACCAATCTCAAGCATTCCCCGATCCTCCAAATCTTTTGTTGCACATCTGCAAAAAGTGAAAAGTTTCAGGACCCAAATAGGAAAGAGCGCTAAGAATGAGTGGCTATTATAGACTCTCAGGAATTTGCAATCGAGCGCAAAGGGGCCTGAGCTTTGCGATCGGAAGGTTATTGGTTCTTTGAAATTTTGAGGAATCTGGGGAAATCTTGTAGGGCTGAGGTATTGTGAGCTAATGGTAGCTGTGGGAGCCCTATGGGGAGCTAGTGGATCGAGCGCAAAGGTTGAAACTGAGATTCGGACCAATGGATGGCCGATCGCATTGTGGTGTGAAATTCAGATGTGCAACAAAAGGGATCTGATGTGTAGCTGGGTGAATTTTGAAGGGTGAGATGGGATGAGATGTCTGGAATCGATGAGATGAAATGGGAACAATGGCGGTACCATCCTTTATCTAGTCGTATGTTATTAATACACAGGATGACTAGGATGAAATACTAGGTGTATATAGATCATGTCCACACTTCACTTCCCATGGAAGTTGGAACACTCAAGCGAAACCCAAGAAATCTACAAATAGGCGAACGATCGCAATATTACAAAAGCACCTCAGACGCGCATTCCAAACCCCAGTCACCCACCGGGGTCACTTACACGAAGTTTGACCAAGAGATAGAAGAGTACATTAACTGGAAACTTCAGATGTGCAACAAAGTCTCCTCAGGACTCACTCATTCACTATCCACCCGTACCGCCCGCAATTCAGGTTACTGTCCGAGCTCTACAACTTCACTTCCCACACCCGACGAAAGCTCTCAATGGTGAATTCTGCCCATCCATCAAGGTCAATTTGGCATCAAAATAACCTCGACATCCTCCAAAAAAAGTCAAAAGTAAACAAAGACAAAAACGACGAGCCCCGTTTCCCTTGCAAACCCCCTGAAACTTCGCATTTGAGATCTGCAAGTATGCAGAATTCCGGTTCTGTTTCCAAAATCTAAAAAATATCTCAATCGCAAACGTTAGAAAGGCCCCCAGATGTGGAACAAAACTTCTTGATGTTGGAGTGGCACGTGTCTAACACGTGAATAGGCGAATATTGGACGAGAGTGTTATGTGATTGCTAGGATTTTGGGGTGGAAGGCTTTCTTTAATTGCGCTTCTGGATGACACTAATATAAGAAAGATTCACTGATGTGGTGGTTGTAGCATTGGGCTTTCTGCTATACTTTGATGCGCTAGCTATCGTCGCATGACCTCGTCTGGCTGCGAGACCAGAAATCTACTCGATCTTGGTATGTTACGAAGATGTTCCAGTCCTAAATAGACGAGCAAACAAACATAGAGACTGGTTCAAGATGACTGAACAGCTTCGATTTTATGTCCATCATTTCTCGGTGGTCATGGATAGAAGTATATCGCTTGGATCCTTCTTTCGAATCATTCCGCATAGATGATCTTTCTGAAGACAACCTGGTACGCAGTACATTATCCACCAGTTCTTGATAACTACATCTCGATTTGATTTAAACAGAAACGTATACAGCAATATTTCGGAGATTCATTTCTTCCAAGGAACCATCGTCGTATTATTTCAAAGATGGATGGGTAGGAAACAGTTACAGAATTCAACTGGTCTTGGGAGGAAAAGGTAAGACATATAACATCGGCACATAGAACCCAATCCTTCGTTTGATAAACCCCATTTTTCACAAGACTCGACATAGTACAGTCTCTTGTAATTCTAGATACATTTTAGCATTTAGTAATGATCGCAAAATTCGTGTGTCTTTTTGTGTATGGATAGAGATTTCACTTGAGTGTTGGGTGTTGGGTGTTGGGTGTACGATGAAGTGATGTCTGCAGCAATACAAGATTTCTGTGCAGGGGTTCATGAAGGAATCTTCGTTGGCGACAGAAAGTACAAGCCTCAATGCCAGAACTCCGACACAGCCACTCGCGGGGATGCAAAGATGCATACTAAATGTTGGCAGAGAAGAAGAAGAAGATGATGATTCGGGCAAGTTCCAGATCTAAAGAAAACAAGCATCATTTGACTAATGATCACTACACACTCTACATTGTAGACTATCACCAATACAGTTTGAATTTTGATCTCATGATTCGGGCCTCTCCGAGCCTTACCTTAAGGTTGATGGCTTTCTAGCTTCTAGCTTTCAGATGCTAACTTCTCAGTTCTAACTTCTAAGCAAATTCCCCCAGAATCAAATAAAGGGGGGCGGGCAAGACCGAGTCCAAATTCTTTCCTGTGCCCGTGCGTGTATGGTAAAGTCAACAAGGAACTTCCGAGCATCAATACATACCTAGGTAGGTAGCTGGAGATACTAGACAGCATCAATACATCGTAGAAACAGTATACCAAGTGGAGTTACAAAACCGATATGACATCATGTTTCCTGAAGATTCGAATTATGGAAAACTTCCATCGAACAGCTCATCACCATTATGAAGGATATCCCGGAAAACAATAGCCTTATGAAATATTTGGAACGGTGTAACAAGGGATTCAACTTTACTGACAATGGCTGGGTAATTTTACTTGGGTACCTAGGAAGTATTAACATTCTCGCCACGAAGCAGATATTTTACTTTGTTTTATTTATTTTATTTTATTAGGAAAAGCAGAAGGATTTATTGGCTTATCGATGATTTGTTCTCGTGATACAATTTTTCCCGCAAAGCCAACACTCGATCTCAGCCCCTCGATCTCATCCCACGGGCGCAGTTGAATAACCCTGGCAG